TCGTTTAAATAAAATTTGCTCTTCGAGAATAGTGCGCGATAACAGCACGACCAACAGATTTTTTATATCAACACTTTGACTAGGTACAAAACGAAAGTGTGTATTTTTTTTTTATAGACATGATGCATTTTTTTAGTGAATATGAGATTACGTACTATTTTTTTTTGAGATCTGTTGAAGATTGATTGAAATTGAAAAATTCGTATAATTGTGGGGACCAATCTTCCTAAAGTAAAAAAAAAAGTTAATATTTTGTAATTTAAGTGTATATATATATATTATTAAAGCAACCTGTCCAATATGTATTTGCATTCCTTGTATAAATAATTTTAAATTATTGTTTGGGCTAAGTAATAGCCCTTCAATCGCACATTTCAACCTTATTTCATCTAAAGAAAACAAATCTAGCGGACAATAGTTTGATAAAATTTTCTTGGTATATTTGTGCATACAAAATCGGCAAGATTGAAATTTTTCAGAATTTTTAGAATTTATGAGAGGAGAAGATGGCAAAAATGCCCATTTTGGCTTTCGAAATGATAAAAAAAAAAAAGACAGTAAATCAAAGTATTAGACATTAGGATAAACGAAATCGAAATAATAATAAAAGGAATCAAAAGAAATAAAAGGGAATGAAACACCTTAAGTTCAATAGATAATGTAAGATTTGCATCAGATACAAATCTTGTATGATCAGGTGTTAATATGCCATAGAGTTGATTGAAATCAATATCTTTACAAATTCGATCGCTGGGACGCATAGGACGGATAGCTTCTGACAACGCCTTCAGAAACGTTTGAGGAACTTCTAACAATATCTATAAATAAAATAAAAATTTTACTTTGGTACATAAACCGATGAACAATGTTTGATTATATATAGAAAATAAATATTCGTGCATGAATATACCGATTTACTAATATATTCGTCACCAAGAAGAGGCCCAATGACCGAGGAGGCGTATGAATTCGTAAAACCATTTTCGAACGAATTAGCATTTTTAATGCCGGTATCTTGGTTACTAATAATTGCCTTTTTAAGTCGAAGAACAGTTCCAAACTGTCGTGCGAAAGTGGACGAGTAAAGTAGATGAATTTTTTTTGTTAAACAAATTGATGAAAGTTCAGGCCCAGTCACCCAAATATCACACTAAACCAAGGCCGATACTCTTACAAGGATTCATTGAGTACTGTTGAACCTCCAAAAGCCGATCCTGTTAAATCGATGACCTATAAAAGATTAATTTGCAAGTCTGTTTTTGCTATATAAATCTAATAGTTTCCAAATCTAGCCTCCCAATATGGATACCGGTTTTAAGAGATTCAACAGTATAATGGTTGACGACATACAAATCTTTCATTTTTCCCAACAAATATCAGGACGATATTTGCGTTTCCTTCTGCTTTGTATTTCCACAAAATTGCATGATAAAGTTCCGGGATAACTTTAGTATGTGGCATAAATAATTGTGACGGATTAAAATGAAATCCGATTAAACTGAAATGAGAGATAGTGTAAAATAGACAAGCCACTGAAAAAGACAAAATTTTAGGTGCACTTTTTTTCTAGCATTTTTTTAGGTTAGGATTAGTGTTTAATTTTAATCCGATTTCATTATAATCCGCGACAATAATTAACGTTCACGTTAACGTTAAGCAATAACTACCCCCCAGTATCGCTGGATTTACTTATTTCTGCAAGTGAACTACCCCTGCGGCAAAAGTTTCATTTTTGATAGATCTGCGGTTACTTTTTTGATAGGCTAAATTTAGGTAGTGTTCTTGATACGTAGCAGGGGTTGTTGAGATATCTTCGTTAAAGTTTAAACGGATCTCTTGCAGTATAAGTGACACCATTAATAAAACGTATTATTAATCAATGGGGCGTCACCTCGTTTAAAAAATCTCGGTGTAAATCTTTTGTTTTTGAATATAAAAAATTAGAAACAATAGACTTATTAAAGGATATGGTTGCAAGCTTACAATCTAATTTCAACATACGAATATTTCAACTACACTGTCCTGCATGGGCGAAATAACCAATTATCTTAACCAGAAATTTCTCCAATGTTTAATTGGCGATAGATATTCAAGAAAAATTTTCTAAAATTGCCAGGCTTGATTTTTATACTTACAATGTCAATACCTAGTGAACGTCTATTTTCAGACACTGGAAGTATCATGTACTAATCTTAAACCACGGACATTTGAACCTTTTTTTTTTTTGAAAAAAAATAATGGTTTGATTAATGATATATTTCCAGAATGATAGTCACACTTCCAATTTTTTTTTTTTGATACGGTTACGGCAAAATTTGTATGTGTCTCATTGTGCTATAACGTTACGAAACTTTAATCAATGACAACTTTAATTCATAGCGTAACTTAAAAAGTATTAAAGTTTTTTTTTTCTTTAACAAAATCTTTAATTATGGTTATGTTTGAAGATATTACACTATTATCTGAATCCAATACAGTTAGATCTTTATAACGAATATTTTATAATGATCCCACTCTAAAGGAATTTTTTTTTTTTTAAAAAAAAAGAGTTCGGCTATAATGTTGAGCGATTCTGTGCATACAACTAGATAAAATACAGTGATAATTTATTAATTGAAAAAATTAATTTTTCAATCCGGCTTTTATCGGTAATAATAACTGTAATCCGAGAAGTTCAATAGCTCAAAATGTCTAATGAAAAGATAGAATAATAAACCAATTAACATTTATTTTATTTACGGGCATACGTATAAAGTTAACAAAATAGTCACGACATAAGCTAACAATACAGCGTATACACATATTACAATATGCTATAATAACTTTGTTACGATATCCCGATGCCTTGAGTTTTTATCATAAAATATTTTTTTATAAGCACACCTATTTTTTGAACCATTATTAACTATATATATAAAAATAATTATCATAATCATCGATATAAGCACATTCTCTATACAAGAACATCTTTTTTAAAATTACTAAGGTCTTAAAAGTATGATTACAGAAAGTATGACTATAATCAGTTTTCATTATAATCCGCGACAATAATTAACGTTCACGTTAACGTTAAGCAATAACTACCCCCCAGTATCGCTGGATTT